GGCTGGCTGGATCAGGCAGACGCTGCCCTCTAATCAGGCGCTGTAGAGGGCAGCCGGCTGGGGCCTTCCGAGGACCCCCTTGAGGACTGAGCGGCCGCCGATCGCAGAGCCGCATCGGATGCGGGCGGGCCGGCCGGGTGCAGGTGGCAGAGATGCGGCGGAGGGAGCCACTGCAGCTGCGGCCACAGCAGACCCCCCCCAACCAGGGTCCATGGAGCCCCCCACTGACCACCAGGCCAAGTAAGGTGCCATAGTTTTTAAAACAAAAACTGGGGACATTTTATCCCTGGGAACATAAAATACATAAAAAAAAATGTATATTCACCTGATCCCTGCATCCCTCAAAAGTGAGGCTTCCCGTCTCCTACGCTGTTAGAAGCTGCATACAGCTACTTAAACCGGTGCGCTGTGTGCAGCTTCTGAGAAGATACGCTATTAACGTAGCGCAGCCGGCTTCCTCGCTACGCTAATAGCATACCTTCTCAGAAGCTGCACACAGCGCGCTGGTTTAAGTAGTAACCAGCACGCTCTGTATGCAGCTTCTAACAGCGTGGGAGACGTGAGGTGGATCCAGGGATCAGGTGAGTATTATAAAAAAAATTATTAGTCTATTTTATGTTTAATTTATCAGAGGATGGTCTCCTCAATCCGGGGACTGTCCCCAGAAATCGGGGATGAATGTAAGGCTGCAACAACTAATCGACTAAGTCGATTATAATCGATGATCGAAAAAGTTGTCAACATTTTCAATCATCGATTAATCAGCTTTCGATTAGTTGGCCCTAGCTCTATATGCCGCTCCTCCTCACCCTTGCTGCTGCCAGACCTGCCAGCCCGCATCCACATGCCGCACCTCCTCCCCACCTAACGCGCATCCCTACATCCACGATCGGCACAGGAACGTGGGGAGAAGAAGAAGTAAGGAGGATTATGTCTGTTAAAGCACCTGGAGTAACTGCGCATCCTAAGCGTATTTCCACTTTTGGAGACAAATTGGCATAAAACCTATTTTTGAGCTCAAAGACTAGACGAGAGAAAAATTCAAAAGTTAGGAGGCCGCTGTCATTTGTAAGGAACACACGGAGCTCCTGGGATTTGTACATCTCTGTTTTAATGTATGATTTTGTTTTTATAAATATAAATAAAGGGATGCACAGATACCAGTTTTGCGAGTACGAGTACTGGTACTTGCCGAAAACTTACAAGTACGAGTATTGATACATTTTTGTTTATTGTCATGTGACAGTTTTTCTAAAACAATACAGACTAATGATTTCAGGACAGTGGTGGAGTGCCAGAGCCAGGTCCCAGCTGCAACCGCTGCAACCCTGGTAGTTCTCATGAAAATGCCAAGTATCTGCACTGGTACTCGAAAAGTATGAACAGGCTAAAGCTAGCTATGCATCAGCGGTTCCCCATCCACGCTAACCCTGTGAATGGCGGAATCAATCCCACTGGGCTATTATATTTTGAAAGCAGTGGGTGTGCCACTGTCAGAATACCTAAATAGTGACTGCAACTGATTGGTGGAAGTCACTATTTGGCCAAGAATTTTCAGACCAGCTACTTTGACAAAAGTCTGAGGAAAAATAGACTTTTGTTGCATAGAGGGGTACTGATTGTGCCACACACTGGTCCAAATTTGACTAATGTATGGCCAGTTTAAAGTGAAACTAAACTCAGGATCTAAATCGTAAAGATGCATTCAAGTACCTTAACTATTAACAAAAGTGTATCTTATTTGTGTATCACTCGGCTGTAGATCCTCAAATCATCTCTGAATTGTCACTGTCCTTCCTTATGGAGGGTGGCTACTTTTGTTCCCCATAGTCCCTGTGTGTGTAGTAAAGTAGTCACCACTCCAAGCTTTCTCCTGTGATGGACTACAATCTCAATACAAATGATTAACCTAAACATGAGATTGTAGTCCATCACAGGAGAAAGCTTGGAGTGGTGACTACTTTACTACACACATGGGGACACATTTCTGACACATAATTGTCTCATAGGCATCCCATTCAGGAAGTAGGTGCTAACCCTGGATACCGAACAAAGATAACCAGTTATACATTACAATAAATGCACGTAACAGGAAAAATCATACAGTAGATATGTAAGTTTGCTTCAGTGCTCATTATATGACTTACAGTGATATTAAAGTGTTTTTTAAGCTATTTTAAATGCTGATGAAATCACTTACAATGAATGCTGCTCCTTGATGTTTCAAAGTTTTAGCTTCCCGCAGAATCAGCTGGTCCCCTAAGCACTGGCCCTCATATCCTATTTTAGGGTAACTCCTTTCCCTTGCAGGGTCCTATGGAGCCACCCTTGTGTGTGCAGGTAAGCTGTGTGTGCCTCCACAAACACACAGGCACAGCAAGACAAGTCACGACCCTGCTGCCCCTTCCTCCATTCTCAAAGTTAGTAGATGTACAGTTTCTGGAGTCTGTGCTATCCCTTGTGATCTTGTACTAGACAGGAAAATCAGGGAAGTGGAGTTTCAGCTGTTTGGAAACATGATGATTGTAAGTGGGCAAAAGTGTTAATAAATATTTTCCTGGGAAATGTGTATTTGTTTGATCTGGAAAAAAGATTGAGAGTTTAATACAAATCTAGCACTCTCCTTAAAAGTCAGAATATTCCAAAAGCAAATTAAAGGGTATTAACGGCCGATCAATGAAAAGGATCACATGACTGAATGACAGGAAGACCTCACACCTAACACTTTTTTACATCAAAACTGGCTAGCTGTTTGTTTTCTCCTTAGCGGTCTTTGCAAATAATAGACACTGGAACAATACATATTTATCGAATTATCTTAAATGCCGGGTTTAAACACAGAACTAATTGCATTGCATTTGAAAACCTTAAATGAATCTTAAATGAACATAAAACATTTCTATTCAGAGAAGTTCCTCACGGCTCAGATTAACAATCAGAAAATGAATAAG